CCCTCGATATGATTATTCGGTAGGGTTTGTGCCCCTAGCTCAATTCATGGAAAAATGGGTAATGTCATCGATCACTTCATGGTTACTCAGCGATGAGAAATCATCCTTTTAATTAATAATAATTGAGCTTGGGGTACACAGAATACCCTACAGAATACTCACATGAGGGGTGGATTTTTTGGATAACATTTTATGCAGGTGGGTCTACATGTGTGACCGTTGAGCGTCGGTAGGGGATAAAATAGCAAAATCCTTTTTCCATACATGTATATATGTATTTATGGGCCCTTCGGTGCATAACCTAGTGGTACAAAGGAGTGAGGTAGTCTCAACCTTATTGACAGTCGCAGTGTGAGGATTCGATTCCTAAGATATGAAATTGCACCAGTGTACGGACAAATTCTTATTCCCTGACCTGTTGGACCACATCACACGATTTACCTACCCTCATTATGCTTCAGGGATGGGACGATGGGCCATCGGGGTTCAACATTTTTTTTTTTTATATATGTAGTTATGGGAAATGCTGGAGCTTCAATGCACTGGAAATGCTGAAGCTTCAACTCGCTCTAAATGCTGGAGCTCCAGCTCGCTGGAGCTTCAACTCGCTGGAAATGCTGCAGCTTCAACCCACTGGAAATGTTGGAGGTTCAACTCACTGCGACTGGAAGAAGAGGAACTGTATAGTCCGAAGCTCGGGAAGAAATTTAGCAATGGTTGAACAATCTGAGATGCAGCGCCTGAAACTCGGAACCCAAGGACTCGAGGTATATGTTAAAGTTTTCTTAATTCAGTTTAGGAATTGATTCAATTTTTATATCACATTTGAATATTTTTCTTTACTGAACGAATCCAAAGATCTATTTGTCTTGACCCTCGGTTTGGGAAGAATTTATATATAATGAAAAAAAGTGATGAATAAGTGGATAGTACTTATAACTCCATAAAATACGTGATTCACTATTTATAACTGAATTATAAAATTTTGCCAAATGGAAATCTCATTGCTTCATCCAATGGCATGTTCTTCCTCGTAGATATCAAAGCTAGGTTATGGTTGTATGGGGCTCTCGGGTGTCTACAATAATCCTGTTCCTGAGGAAGAAGGAATTGCAGTAATCAAAGAGGCATTTGATAAAGGCATTACATTTTTTGACACATCGGATGTGTACGGCGCGAAAAATGCCAACGAGTACTTGGTGGGAAAGGTGCATATATACCTCTCTGAATTTAGATTATGGCAGCACGTTAGAAATTATATGATGGCAAGATATTTTTGCTTAATCCAAAGTTGATGTGAACAACAATAATTATATTCTACGTCCACGATAATAAAAACGTTATGACGAAATTTTGCGACAAAAAGAAGGTGAAGAAATTAAACAATATAGCCATATGCCTAAAACTTCTTGATGTTATTTAAATCACTATCAAACTTATGAATGTGCTAAAGTTTTCCTTCGCAAGTCAGGAATTATGATTGATAGAGGTTCATCTGTCGTCCCTCGAAGTTATAGAAAGTTTACTAGGGAAGACAATATTAAAAACTTTGAATTGTGGAGAATTTTCTCTTTGAAAAATAATATAATTTGGTCTTTAATTAAATAATTCTTGAAGTTACGTTTAACTTGGGGGCATTTTGACATAATTTTTTTTATAAAAGTTGATAAAATATGTGGTTGAAAAGTTGATAAAATTGTGGGTACATGAAATATGTGATTGGAATTTATTTATATCTTTGACATCAAGAAACAAGTATCTTTTTCGTCACGGACGGACTGTCAACTACTAATTCGAAAACCACTATAAGCATTTTGTTGTCATCTTTTAGTTACCTTTAACTTAGGAAATTCAAATTTTGCAGGCATTAAAGCAGTTGCCTCGAGAAAAGATTCAATTATCTACAAAGTTTGGCGTAGTAGGATATGATGCTTCTAAAATCATAGTGAAAGGTTCACCTGAATATGCCCGTTCTTGCTGTGAGGCTAGCTTGAAGCGTCTTGATGTTGACTATATCGATCTTTACTACATACACCGAATTGATACTACTATCCCTATTGAATACACAGTGAGTTTCCTTAATGTGTATTTATTTATTTATTTGTACTCGTATATCCANGCTTCTATATCTTTTAATTTTTAGTGCATAATATCTTCTTTAGTATCGAAGATGATCATCTGAAAGGTTGTGTAACTAACGTGCCATCAGAAAAATCATCCAAGGCTTAAGGGAGAGAACTTTGATAAGAACAAAGTCATATATTTTCGTTTAGAAGCATTGGCTAAGAAGCATGGATGCACTCCTGCTCAACTTGCTCTTGCATGGGTTCTTCAACAAGGAGATGATGTTGTACCTATTCCAGGTAAGCCAATCATATAGGAATCCTTGCCAAGTTGTGATATATATGCTGGAGTAACAAGTAGAATTTGAAGAAGTTTGGAAAAATTAAAGATTGTTGGAAAATTGTTATCGTTTGTAGATGTCGTAAGAAATTTTCCTTTGAAATCACACATGCAATGGATGTGACTTAAATGCATATTACTATTATAATCTCATGAATTACATTATTTTTAATGATAATCTATGTTCCAATCGTATAATATTTGTAGGTACGACCAAAATTAAAAATCTCCATGACAATATTGGGGCTCTGAAAGTGAAACTCACAAAAGATGATTTGAAAGAGATTTCTGACGCAGTTCCCATCAACGAAATAGCGGGATCGAAAAGTTCTTCTGAGGTTGTTCATCAGGTCTCTTGGGAATTTGCGAAGACTCCACTCCCAGAATGAACTAGCAAAATGGATAATTCTTCGTCTATTACATGTTGAAATAATCAGAGTTCTAGTTTTGACGATATATCATGTTGTTTTGTCTTGTTACATTTAATCCATTCTGAGTTTTTCTATATTCACTAATTTGTGTTGTCGTAGGTTAATATTATTTATATCTTGCAATATCCGTCCCTTTTCTCCATATCATTAAATATCTGAGCTCACTTGTTGAAACAATTTATTATTTTCTTTCTGTATTATTTTTTATATAAATACTTATTTTATGAATTTTGATATTGTCGAGATAAAAGGCTACTACTCTAAAACTCGAGATTAAGGGAGGTGTCCTCAATTGATATTATGATTGATTTTAAAAATCATTCAAAATTTAGATGTCTTCAATTGAGATTTTATTGAATTTTAATGAAAATCATTAAAATTTGGATGTTCCCAATTGAGATTTTAATGGAATTCTTTAAAATTTAAATATCCTCAATAATTAGTGGATTTATAAAGATTTAATCAATAGAAGGATTTTAAAAGATTTGGATGGATTTAAAGCTTAAAAATACATATAAGCAAATCTTTTGAAATTTCATTATATTTAATGAGATTCTTATGGAATATGTAAAAATCTATTCAAATCCACAAAATTCATTAAAATTTATAATTCTTTAAAATTCGTTAAAATTTTAGTTGAGAGCACCCTCGTAATTATCACATGGAATAAATAATCTTCATTTTCTTCTCTGTGTGTAATTAAATAAATAGGCACAACAATATAAGTCATCTTATAATT